AAGATCCAACAAGTAGTTACAGCCCAGGGGTTGCGAAAAATAGTGGGTTACCTCATCAGTGACTACCCTCAGTGAGGTGTGACGGCCGGAAGGAAGGCCAGGACTGAAAAGAAGGTTAGCTCTCATCCTTTATTCCTTTGGCCCTGGTAATCACTAAGAAATTTTTTGATAGAATTTAACTATTCTAGACATTTCATATAAATTAAATTATACAATATGTGACATTTTGTCTGGTTTGTCAGTGTAATGTTTTTAGGACTCGTTCATGTTGTAGCATACATCAGCATTTCATTTATTTTGTGCTTTTTGCCAAATAATATTCCACTTACAGATAAATCACACAGTTTATCTATTGTTATGTAAATAATGGTAGACATTTTGGTTTTCCACATCTTTTGGCTATATTATGAATACTGTTCCTCTGAAAATTTATGTACATGTTTTTGTGTGAAAATATATTTCTGATCCTCTTGGCTATTTAACTAGGGTTGGAGTTTCTGCATTTCAACCCCTTGAGAGACATGCAGACAGTTTTCCTCAGTGCTGCACAACTTCACATCCCACTAGCAGAGTATGGGGGTCCCACTTCACGTCTGTACCAGTACTTGTTATCTATCATTTTCACTATAGTCATCCCAGTGGGTGAGAATGGTTACTCCACTGTGGTTTTGATTGGTGTTTTTCTAATAGCTAATGATATTAAATATATTTTCATATGCTTACTTGGCTATTCATACATCTTGGAAAACCTGCCTATTTACATATCCTCTGCCTGTATTTTAATTGCATTATTATCTTTGAGTTGTAGGAGTGTTTACATATTCTAGATACAAATCCTTTATCAGATTTGCAAAATATCTCTATTTTATTCATTGATTTTTTTTCAATATCCATATTTTTATGGACAAATAATATTTCATTGCATGGATATACCACATTTTGTTTATTCATCAACTGATGGACATTTGGGTTATTTCTTTTTTTGTGGTTATTGTGAATAATGCTATGAACATTTATTTTTTGTGTAGACACATATTTTCAAAATTTGGGGGTATATTTCTAGGGCAAGTATTGCTAGATCATCTAGTTGCTCCATGTTTAATATTTTGAGGAATGGCTGAACTATTTTCCAATGTGGTAGTGCTATGTTATAACCTATTAGTAAAATGAGGGTTCCCATTTCTGTGGTACCTTTCCTAATTACTTAGTATCTCAATGTGGTATATTTTTGTTTGTTTGGTTTTTAAAAATTTTTTCTGTGGAACTAGGGATTGATTTGGCTTGAAGTAAATCTCCATCTATTTAGGAAGAAAATTTGTTTTGAGATACAGTCCCACTAATTTGCTAAATTGCCTCAGTTGGGATTGAATTTGTGATCTTTCTACCTCAGCCTCCTACAGTGCTAGAATTACAGGCATGTGCTATGAGCCCTGGCTTTCAGTGTTGTTTTAATTTGCATTTCCACATAGTTACAGTTTATTAAATTTAAATTCAAATTCAGGTTCCAAGCCAGAATTTATAACTATTTTAACTATTGCACAGTAACATCTCTCCCTACTCCCCAGAAGTAGGGAAGGATTTTAGGTAAGATTGTTAGCTATTGGATGGAGTTCTAATCATAATCTGTATTCACTTCTGGAAGCTTTTAAAAGACCAAGGTTCTATTTGTTTTTGTCTACGATGTAGTAAATCCAGTGATGTCCTGGTAAATAGTTAAGAAGACATTGGGGCTGTTGGGTTGGAGTGGGGACTCCAACAGTAGTACTGATTAATAGTCTTTGCAGATTTCCATAGTGTGAATAGTCCCAGTCTTTACCAGTTTCAAGTCACTAACTTAAATGTCTGCCAGCCAGCTTGCAAAATGCCTGAGGAACAAAACAATCAGCTCTTGTATGTAATGTGAGCCAGAGCCAGCTCTAGCAAACCAATTGCATAAATTCAGTAAAATACTCTTGAGTTGCAAGTGCTTTTTCACACAAAAAAGCAAAATGATCATCAGTTATTCAAGATATAACTATATGTCAAAAATCTAATATAATTAATGTAAAATTATTATAAATAATAAAGTTTCCATAATGTGACTAGAAACAAAATAATTATACAAAAATCAACTTTTCTGATAAAAATAGCTAGTTAGAAAATATGATGGCAAAGATTTCTCAATCATAGTAACAGCTAAACAATAGTAACAAAACTATAAGATACCTGGAAATAAATTTAATAAGGAATAAGAGTTTTTAAAACAAGAAAAGTCTGAAATTCTTCTGAGACGCATGAAAAAATTGAACAAGATGGTAAAATGTATGCTGAAACCTTACACAGATCTTAATATTAAATAACTGTCACTTCTCCCTGAATTTTTTTATAAATCAAACGCAATCTCAAAACACTAAAAATAGGGGCTGGGGATTTAGCTCAGTGGCAAAAGCGCCTGCCTGGCAAGCGCAAGGTCGTGAGTTCGGTTCCCGGTACCAGAGAAAAACCAAAAAAATCAAAACACTAAAAATATATTTTCAGAAACCCTATGAAATGAATAGAACAGCAAAACAACAAGAAATGGGTATTCAGGAAAGTTTTGAAAAAGAAGACAAGGGAGAGGAGGAGACCTATATCACCACATACTAAACTATGTTACAAAAATATAGTAGTGAAAATAACATAATACCACAGCAGGATTTATTATAGATTAATAGAAAAAAAATAAGTAGTCTAAAAAAGGTTGCACTTCAAATTAGAATGGAAAATTCCACAAATGAATTGTCAATTCCACAAATTGAAATAATTGGCAAGCCATTTGAGAGAGAAGTCTACATGGATCAAAGTTTTAAGTGATAGAAGAAAATATAGCAGTAACTGTTTTTGCAATTTTGAATTGGAAATGTTGTTTTTTATTTTTTGGTACTGGGAATCAAGCTCAAGACCTTACGCTTGCCAGGCAGGTGCTGTACCACTGAGCTATAACCCTGGCCAAAGTTGTTTTTAAAAATAGCATGAAACCCGGATGCCAGGAATGACACCACATAAAAATTTAAAATTCTATGTAATGTAAGAATGACAAATCAAAGATAACAAAAATATAGAAAAAGTATTTTTAGTACCAACACTAAAGACATAATGTAACAAATGAACAAAATTGTTACAAAATAAAGGGGAAAAAACAGCTTAAATGAAAACAAAGAGCCCTTAAATATATGAAATTAGTAAAAGTGACCAAACATATTAAAAATATTCAATCTTACTAATAATTAAAACACATTTGTGAACTAATAATTTGTGAATTGAAATAAGAATGTTAAAATCATTTTCTCTCCTTTCAAATTTGTGAAGAGATCTACGTCCTTCATCATTAGTGAGATTGTGAACAAACAGGCACTTATTTCAAACTGATGAGTAGGTACATTGGTAAAAGCTTTTAGGGTAAAAGTTGTCTACATATTGATAAAATTCTAAGTACGTGTACATTTCAATCCAAAAATTCTAATTCTAAGATGCATGTGCACAGAAAAAAAAGGCCAACATCACTTTTTATGTCAAGAGAAGGAAGTTGCATAATA